GAGGTTGCAGCAGCTCCTGAGCAGCACCCACAGACCTTCAGCAACTCACACTGGCCTCAGGGTGCATAATTAACCCCAGCAATTAATTAGGGAGCCAGTAATTCACAGGCTGCACCAGGAATGGAGCATCTCTAAATATCTCCCACCTTCTGGGAATAGAGTTCAGGCTGAAGGGTTTTTTTCATGTGTTTCTTGTTAGTTTGTTTGTTGTACTTGGTTTTTTTTAAAAAGTTTTCAGCCTTTTTTTGGTCTAAGTTATCAAGAGGTCCCCAAGGACACAGACTCTTCATCTCACACCTCAGCTGAAAGAAAGAAGGGGCTGACCCAGTAACAAATATCTGGTTCTCTCCACTGTCTTAGCTGGGAAGATATACAGGTCTTGGGGAAAAATAGCAAATAAAAAATTCCTTTTCTTCCTCACTTGGCTCTGGGATATGGGACACAACTGGCTGGCTGTGAGCTGCCCTGCAGGCTGCAGAGGAGCTGAATTTCTAATGCAAAGTAATAAATGTTCTGTTCTGAACAAACTTGTCCTTGCCCTGCTGCGGAGGGACTTACTCATCCCTGTTTTTGTGGGCTTCATTTGAGGGCTCTGCATCAAGCCACATGCCACATCCTGCCAGCACAGCAACATCCCTTTGGATTAATCCTCACTGCACACAAGAGCCAAACGATGCTCAGAGTTAGAAGTTATTATCTTCTTTCAACAACTTCTCAACAGCACAGTCCAACATGCACAACAACGGTGGTCCCTGTACCATCACCAAACACATCATCTGTCCTTCCAGGGGATGTGCTGACACGTGGCACTGACTAGGGCAAAACCAGGTGAAGGCAGAGAGGAATTCCAAGTCCTGGTTATTGATGGGAAGCACACCCAGACAGACAGGCAGAAGCTGCGTGGCTGGGCCCGGTGCGTGGTGCTGAGAGCGGTGCGGCAGCGAGCAGTAGTCTTGGAGGGGGTGAAACACTTACTGTTGGCTATGTTGGAAGCAGTGAAACTGTCTGCCATTCCTGAGACCTGGCTGGCAATGCTGATCTCACTGGCTCTCCGGAAGCCCCTGAACTGAGGGGCTGAAATGGGGGTGGACAGGGACGCGCTTTCCACGAAGACGCCACCATGAGACTGAACAACATCTGCTACAAAGGTGAAACAGGGAAATCAAAGTATTAGACCAACAGACAGAGGCTGGGCAAGATGAACTCGGGGAGGGGGAGGCAAACAAAGCTGGGAGATGCAAAAAAACCTTTCAGAACTGATTGGAATGGAGGAGGGAAAAAAAAAAAAGCCACATTTCATCGGAGCTCTGGTTTGAAAAGAAAGCGAACAGCACAGCAGGCAGAGACATGTGGCTAGAGGAGCAGTCTTTGATTGAGAGAAGCAAAACAAGTAGCTCAAAAAACAGATCCAAAGAAAAAACCCAGGCAGACTTATTCAAGCAGCAGTAACAAGCATGTGTCATACATACAGATGTGAATATACACGATTTGATATATTCACATTGAGACGAACTAACCAAGGTATTAACCACAAAAAACAACCTTAGAAAGGGGATATTTGTTTTCTTGAAATCTTTAGGTTTAAATGAACATCTCCAAGATAGAAGCATTAATAAAAAAAACCAAAAACAAATCAAGAAAACATCTTCATGCCTGGCAGAGACTCAGTTTGAACTTGTACTTCATTGCTAATGGCTACAGCCAACACTCGTTAAACAGAAGGGTTTAGTTCACTCAGGGCAGTGAAAGGAGGTTGGGGCTGAGCACTTTCACCTCCCATCAGTGTTGGGAGGTCAGGGAGTGCTCAGTCTCTGTGAAAACAGAGCTGCTTTGGTATAACATGCAAGTCTGGATTTTTAGACCCCCAACCTGAGGTTTACCAAGTGTGGCCTAACCCCTTAGTACTTAAATACCAAAAAGGAGGGTTTCAAATCATGCTCACAAAGACCTTATAGATAGATTGGAGGGAAATGGACCTCTGGCAAACAGAGTCATGATAAAATCTCTGCATTTCAGTGTTCTCTCTCTAACAATGGTAAGAGCATCCATCCCCCCATGGATGCCACAAGGCCAAATTAGGAGGGATATCCCAAGGTCCTGCACTGCAGAGGTTTGTAATGCCAATTCCAGGTGCTTCAGCAGGCAGCACCAGGATGGCAGTAACATGCAAAAGCAAAGCAATTTACTATCAGTTGAAGGTTGCCCATCTCTGCTGCACCTAAGGAGCAGCTCCTGAACAGCATTCCCAGGTATCAGACAGGGCACAGGTTTGTGCTCAGCCAGGCAGGAGTTGCCAGGAGGAACATGATTACATTACTCCCACACCCCTATTTCCAGCCTATTCCTCCACCTATTTCAGCCAGTTTAGATATCCCTGGATTTAATCCCAGTATGCAGCTGACATAGGGTGTTGTTTTAGCAACTGGTTTATTTTAATATCTATCTTATTTTTTGCTTGGGGCTACTGATTTTCTTGCTCTGATCTCTCAGTTCGCAGCAGCAGTGTCTGTGCCCACACAAATCCTGCTGCAGCCAAGGGAGAGGGAATGTACGAAGCAGAAAATGTGTGGCTAAGTGTCAGTAAAAGAGTTCTGTTCTCTGCAGGGAAAATCAGGCCACAAGCTGCTCTGTGTAAAAGCTTTGTGGACTGCAAGATCTGAGCCTTAGCAGGAGCCTGACTCGATGATGAGCTGCACACGCTGCCCATGTTGTGCCTGAAAGGCCATTAGAGCATCACTTCCTCAGCACTTTCCCCCTCTTTTCACCTTGCCTTGAGCTGCTGGCTACCAAGGCTACTGCCAGGATCCACACCCAGCCAGCACCACTGGGCCAGTGCTGGTTTCTGACTGGAGAAAGTCCCAGCACAACAAAAAGGAAACGATTCAAGCAGAGAACAGCAACACAATCTCAACAGTCCTCCCAACCCCATCCTAGCTACTGTCACCAGAGCAATTCTCACTCCTATAAAAGTCTCAACTGTTTTAGCATTACTGAACAGTCTGATTTAGTGTCACCCACGTTGGTGGCAGAAGTTTGCTCTGCAGGGGATGAGGTGCCACCCAACAGCAGTGCTCCCATGCTCCAGCCCACTTGGGTTGCTCTTGTGTTTCTCCTTTTTCCCAAGGTACACACCCTCTGTCCCTGAAAAAGGACAGTTTCTAGGAAAAAGAAGGGCCAGGGAAAGACAGAGCAGGAAGTGTGGAGAAAAAACCTGTTTTATACATCATTGTCCATCCAGCCAAACTTCCTCCACCCAAAAGCTGCAAGGACAGTGAATTCCAAAGAAAATTCTGAGACCTGACTTGAAGAAAAAAAACCCCCAAACCTAACAACATAATTCCTAACTCTGTGCATTCTTTGCACCAAATCCCTCGTGCAGCAACTTTGAAACCAAGGGGCCTTTCCTGGGGAGTGTGGTGACCAGGCTGGGACACCACAGAGGCTGCCAAAAAAGCACAGACTGACCCCAGCACCTGGAGCCACTCCTGCTCCTCAAGGGAGAAGTCTGAAGTCTCCTGCACTACAGAGATACATCCCCAGCCACAACTCAGGTCCTGAGGCTTTCCAGGTAAGCCCAGGGTGACACTGGGTGGCCCAGCAGCAGCAAGACTTTTACCAAGATTAGCTGTTCCTTTGTCACTAGAGATAGACAGAGGTGGCCTGTTTTACTACACTGGCTGAAGTGCACTTTGCAACATGACTTCATCAGAGTGAGGAAGAGGAGACCTGGCTGGAGCAGTGCCCTGAGCCACTCCCTCCCACCAAAGGACCTGCCACTGCTCCAACTGCAGCACACACCCCCATTGGGCCAGAGACATCACCTGAGATGGAACTGCACTTCCAGAGACAATGACACAGCCAAACTGCATTTTTCTGCCTACCCATGGACCTTGAGTACTCATTTCAGCCCTATGCCCTTTCATTTATGGACTCATTTGTCTATGTTCTTACTGTTCCCCACTAAGTGAACAGCTCTGGGCCAACCTCTCCCTTAAGTCCTTGGGGTATGTGAATGGCAGGTTTGGTATGTGCTATTTGCAGGCTGATCTGTGGCACTGAAGCAGGAAATACTGAAAGCAATCAAAAAATATGTACAGGTCAATAAAACCAAACCAAACCAAACAAGTCAGCCAGCTGCTCAGCACAGGCCAGAGCCTTCTTTAACTGGAGTCACTGGTCTGTGCTGGGCACTCTGCAGCTGCTATTGTCAGACCAAGAGCAACAGATTCCTGTGGTCCATATTTTTTATGATTCTGAAAATTTCCTGCAGTCCAGTGGCTGAACTGGGATCCAGCACTTGCTGCAGACAAGCCAAGCAGTGCTTGGCCACACTGCTCTTCTTGCACACAAGGTAAAGACCAGAGAATCATCAACTAGAATGGTTTGACATGGAAAGGACCTTAAAGATGATCTCGTTCCAAACCCCCTGCCCTGGGTAAGGGATGCTCCTAAAAGCTCTGTCCTGACAGAAGGCAGTACGAGCTGACAGCTAAATGGCATTTCATTAGTGACATCCAAAGTGATTAATTAATAGGACCAGATCCTTTCCCTCTGCTTTGCAGAAGAACCTCACAGCACAGGTAACACAGCGACTGCACACCTAAAAATCATCTACACCTCAGAATCTCACAGCACAGGTAACACAGCAACTGCACACCTAAAAATCATCTACACCTTCAAGAGGCAAAGGGAGAGATGACCAGGGATGGCCAATGTTGCCATCCTGTATGAGCACATAACACCCCAGACTGCTCACAGACAGTGAGGGTCAGCTTGTTAGAGACAACAGGGCAGCAGAACCCAACTCTCAATGCAAAACACCAAGAAAGGGGTGAGAACAGGCAAGTGAGACACGCAGGGAAAAAACCAAAACAACCCCAAACCAAAGTCAAGTCTCATCAAAATTGCAGATGTAGCACCAGCCACAACCAGAATAAACGAGGCCATGCAGCATTTATAATGGAAAATAAGGCAAAACAAATGCATCAAACTTTGCTTTTAAGGCAGAGGACGAGAAATTAATTTTAAAAAGCCAACACACAGAGCCACCCTGGGGTCTGAAAGCCTCAGTCACTGTGTCCAGCAGAGCCACGAGGAGTGTCCAAGCACAAAATACTCAAAGGGACAAAATCTGCTCTGACACAGACATTAATTGGACTTCTGGGCACGGTGCAGTTGGCTGCTGGGGAGCTGCACACTGCAGACAGCCCTTTCCCCAGGGATCCTGCCCACGGTGAGCACCATGCAAGCAGAGCCACCAGGGACTCTGTCTGCCTCTGCCAAAGCCTCTTCCAGCAGCACAGCCACCACAGATGGCAAACAGCGTGTGCATGGCAGCACTGGCCCCTGCCAGCACCAACACCAGAATGGCTTGGAGTTTAATCCCAACCTGTTGTTTCCCCAGTGGGTCTCCCAGACCCAAGCATGATCCTAAGTGGTTATTTCATGTGGCACAGTCTGAGACACAGCATGAAGATTTCAACTCCAGGAGGCAACAGGATGATCTCCAAACAGCACCCCGAGAACCCAACACCATAGACAATACAAAAGTGTAGATTACACACACTCAGCAAAACCAGCACTTTTATTGGACCCATCTTGCCAATTCAGTACGGGCACAGGGATACTTGTTTCCATGAAGCTGTCCTGGTGCTGGAGAGCACCCAGAGGGCTACTTTCCATGAGGAGGATGGGATTGTTCTGGATTGTCTCAACTAGAAGCAGATGGGGAAAAAAAACAACGTAACAGAAGGACAAAGAACAACAGACATGCGGCCACAAAGTGTTAAACATACAAACAGTTACACCCCAGCACTTAACTATGAGTCTTCAATGAACACACATCCTTCAAAGAGAGTCAAAGAAACGAAACAGGGGTGACTTTCCAAACAGACCCACATCAGAGATTAACTGGGAGCAGAGGAGAACACAACGATGGCATTTCAACAACAAAAGGGAGTCCTCTTAACCTGCTTCTCTCCAACGAGCCAAATCCATAAAAACCCTGCAGATCCAGAGAAATCCTTTTACTATGAGGGGAAGAAAATACGCTCAAAGGGGAGATTTAATTGAATCAGACTCACAGCCTACACAGTGCAAAGCACAGGAGTGAGCAGGGATGTGAGTTTCATTTAACTCTGCAAGTTCATTGAGATGAAACAGGGACCAACATTTAGTACAGATGGGAAAATGGGGGAAAAAAACAGTGTAAAAGGCTTTCTGTGAATGGTGGACTTTAAAAGAGCTATCTGCATGAGGAGATGTGCACAAGCAGTGGTACAGAAGGTTTCGTACCAAACTAATTATAATTGAGCACCTGAATTTTACGTGATCAACAAAACATATAGCTTAATTATAGCAGCAATTAATTTTCCTGGAGCGCCCTACAGTGCACACTAATTTCAGCAGAGGCTTGGTGAATCATGGTTAGTCCTTCTGGGTAATGTGTACATCACAGCACTGAAATTTGGACTCCAAGGGAAAGGAATAGCCTGTTACCTTACGATAAGCAAATGAAGAGGCTTTGTCTCATAGGAAAAGAGACTTGAAAGTTGCTTTTTTGTCAGTTTTATTCAAGGCAGAGCAGCATCTCTTAAAATAACAAGGCTCAAACCTGGAGAAGGTTTGGAAATCACTCTGCCCTTCTCATAGCTAAGCAAATTGCTGTTGAACTCCTCTCCACTACACAGCAAGTGTCTCTCCAAGCACAGCCAACTCAGAGGTCTGGGGAGACACAGCACATGACTAATATCCTGCTGCTGTACAGAATGACAAGCAGAACCACAGGGTTTTTAGTGTCAATGTGGTCTCTACCTCTGGGAGCAGTGAGAACAGGGGCTTTGGAATGTGTTTAAGAGGAAGATGATGTTTAGGTGTCATTTTTTAAGCCCCTTGCAGCTGATCCCTAGAATACGCCCAAAAAGCAAATTGCTTTTCGAGTTGCTATAGCTTCCCTGAGCTGTTGTAACTGGCCTGGGTACAAATGTAATCGTGGGTGGATCCATTTTTAAGAAGTGCTGCAGCAAGATCTTGGCTAAATTTGACAAGTGAGTGGGGCCTGCAGAAAGTATTTTCTTCACTTCATTAAACATGGGGTTTAGTTTGTGCCCGTTTAACAAATCAGACCATTGTGCCCATCTGATGGCAGAGGAATCCTAGGTTTTCTAGGAGGACAAAGTGTTGCATTAGCAAGGTGGCATGGGCAAGGCACTGTCACCAGCCTACTGATCTGCAGGAGACTGTCCTATGAAAAAAACACAGGATGCAACCAAGCAAACCATCTCATCATCTCACTGTTGATTCTGCTCCTTCCAGTCTTCGCTGGTCCTCCCAGCATCGAAGTCCTAAACTCTGCCAAGTTAATCACATTTCATTTGGCCCCAATCACAAGCACCAGCCTGGGTGTAAAACATGGACCTTCACAGAAAGGTCACCACATCACAACTCTCAACAGCTTGGTGTGACAAATGAAGGGCACATGGGTCACAAGGCACTGATTTCATTAGGAGAAAACTCCTTTTCTGGTAGTTCAGGAACAAGGCTAACATTATAAGGCCAATTCTTTTTCTTGTCCTTCCCAATTGCTTTGGTAAATTAATGCAAAGTGTGGATATAACCCTTTAAACAACTCATATGGATCCAGAGTGACTTACCCAAAACAGCAGAATTGCCATCACCCAGCGGGAACCTCTGGTACCGAGGGATGTTAAAGGGAGGCAAAAGGTAGAACTTCCTCTCCAAAAGAGGCTCAAGGCGAGAGGCAGATGGGTCTGCAGGGTGGAACAGGTTATAGACCTGCTGACAGGCTGGTCTGAGCTGAAAGACTAAAAAGATGAAGAAAAGAAAAACCCTTCAAGTATCAAAAGATGATTTGTTAGAATATTGTAAATATTTGCCTGCAAAAAGGACAACTGTTGGGTTAAAAAAAGCACTAAGGATTTATCATCTCCTTCATCTCCCAGTTTAGTCAACTGAAACAATTTATTATAGTATTTATAGATGTAAGAATTGCCCAGTATTTTTAATGTTTGGAAGTACATTGGAAATAAATGGCATAATAAGCAGTGGTTAGAGCACACACTGATCTCCTGCAGGAAATATTACAGAGAAATGTTTGGGTTTAACCAAATTCCTGCACTTGTGTAGGAGCTGCTTACACCATCCCACCAAGGGAGCTCAGTGGTTTGCATCAGGACTTACTGTCAAGAGCTGGAATGACAGTTTTTCTCAGTGCAAGAACCAGACCCAAGGGAGAACCAAAGAGGAAGAAGTCTGTGATCTCAAAGTCAAACTTCCCAATATTTCCTCCATCCAACATCGTGGAGCTACTAGATCTCCTGGATCCAGGGTCGTTTCTCAGAACACTAGAATGTAAACTGGGACAAGAAGAGAAAACAGAGTCAAAATGTTAGTCGTGCTGTGTTTTCATAATTAAAGCCTGGATTAGTGATTGACACTGGATATAATTCCTCTGTCTTTCATGAAGGAACTGTGACAATCAACCCACTGTGCCCCAGTGCTGCAGCTTCACTAGCCAGCAAAAGTCCCCCAAAACCATGACCCCATTCCATTCAGATGGACAAATCCAAGCTTCAAGTGTGTTCATTTACACACTATGTCCTCAAATGGTTTTTTTCTTTGAGGAGTCAAAATCTTGGTTACTGCTAGTAGGACAGTCACTTGCAAGAGAAAATAAGCAACAAGCCAAAATCACTAGGCTAGCAGGGAGAAAATAAAATTTACAGTGATTCACTCATGACACATGTTACTGCTATGTTTTCTGGCTGTCAACATCTGAGTTCCTTCCATCACCTCATTCTTAAACGTTATGGAAAGCTGTGCTTACCCATTTCTTCCTCGTGGAAGTAGTTGGACAAATGGTATTGGATTGAAAGTATAAAAAAGAAAAAGAAAGTAGGAGGGGAAAAAGAAAGATCAAAATCTGCAAGAAGGTTTCTAGTATCTTCCTGCATCAGGTTGGCACCAGCTTCCTTGTGTGTGTGGCACTCACTGGGAATGGAAGTTTGGGGGAATTCAGACAGTGGCCACGAGGTAAAGTGTATTTATCATGCTCCCAGGACTATCCCACTTCTCTTCTGCCCATGAGGCCACATCTGCCAACTTATTACCAAACAACTTCTCAACCCAACAACTCCAGCTAACTGAACTTAAAAAACCCCACCATATAAAACAGATCCAGCTTTCCCTCCCTTTCTCAGATTTCAAATCTGTTTTCAAAATTCAACCTGTGTGTGGTGTAGGGTGGGCAATACACAGGTTTAACACAGAGATTTACATTCACATTTCCCTTGGACACTGATGAAGAAGCAGCAGGAACTATTAGATGAACATCCTGGGAATCCACCCCCACGTTAGGGAGAGCTGCTGCTTTCAAGTCTAGATCTGGGAATGTGAAATGACAGATGTGGAACATGAATAATCTGGTTCACAAAAGGGTTTTCTGAGTTTCCTCTGTTACCACCCAAAAGCACCAAGCTGCAATTCCTTTGCTCTGCAGGCTGCACAGAACCTGATGGAAGCTGTCGTGGGTTATCTCATCGTAGTTAGAAGCAGAGGGTTGAAGACAGCTCCAGCACAGCCTTCACAAGAGGTTTGCAAGCACTTAAAAAAGCATCAGAACAGGTTCTATAAAACATGTAGGTAAATGGATACCACAGCAGTTGGGTTGGATAAAAGGTTTACTGGCCTGGAGTCAGGAATGATGCAAATGCAACTGTCTCTCCTGCCAGCTCTGTGGTCCCAAGTCAAAACCTGTGGGGTGACCAGCACTTGTAATGTCCTCAAATGCAGCAGCACTTGCTCATCAAGGCCACTCCTGAGGGCAGTGACACCCCAGCAGTGCTGTGCTCACCCAAACAAGCTGTTCCCTCCCCATCATCTGCAGCACAGGAGCAGTTCCTCACACCCCTCTCTGGGACAGCCACCCAAACCCAAGGAGCAGCTGCAAACACTCCCACATTGGCAAAGAAAACCAAGTTTCACCCAGACTTTGTTTTCCTGCTCTGGCAAATAACACATCATCCCAGAGACAGCTCCTGTGCTGCACACCATTCCCCAAGGATGCTGAAAAGCTTTCTGCTCCTGCTGTGCTGTCATGTATCCTCCAAAGCTGCACACGCGGCGCCGCTCTCCCGGCTCCCAGCACAGGGAAATGAGGAGCTCACTTATGCCAGACACACATAGCATGGCAAGTCAAAACAGTGATGTCAAAAGGGAGAGAACAGGAGGTTACAGCAGTGACAGCTACAATGAGCGTGTTCCCATTTCTGTGATGCAAAGGAGCTTCCCTGAGATCACACAGCCGAGATGCTCAGTGCTGGGACACGTTTTAAAGCAAGACACTTTCAGTGCAGCTACAATTATTTTAGTTAACAAGGCTGCAAGTTTGCTGTGTGTGCAGAATATAAAGTCACTTAGAACATGCTCAGATTCGCCAAAGACAGGGTGAAGCAATGGATTCCAACAGAGGCACCAAAGGAAAGACTATCCCAGTGGCAGATGAGTTATGGCAGAATGGATTGAAGAAGTTTTTGGTGTATTTCACCCATCTTCCCACAACATCTCTTCATGGGAAAGGGAAGAACAAAACCACTCCTAGCACTAAGCAATTTGGACAGCTTCTCTCCTTTTGCTGGGAACTTGATAGAATTCTTAGCAATCAAAAGAAACGAGAGCCAAGGGGAACTCGGAGTCTGTTGTGCTCCAAACAACCTACAGTGCCCTGTTCTCCCTTTAAAAAGCAGCAGATGTACTGTGTGCATTAATTAAACCAGAGCTTATGGATTTCAGGAGCAAATCAACTCATTTACAATAATACAAGTACAGCACAGCCAGAAATAATGTAGCTGTGCAGAAGGACTGAATTTAAAAATAAATGTGTGATTGTAATCTCCAGATGCTGCTCTGGCTTGCTGGGCATTATCCCAGAGAAGTGAGTAGGTCTGATACATGAATAAAAATGAGTGTCTTTGGCACAGGCTGAAATCTGCAGTGGGCATGGACAGAAAGGTCCCTGTGTGCCAGGCTGCCTGTCTGCTCAGCCTGTTAGGAGAGCTTGGCTCTGTTGTGCCAATCTCCTGCCCGAAGCCATGTCACACAGGGCTTGGGTTTTGTATGGGAAAAATCATTACTTGGTGACAGAGGCTGACAGGGCACTCTGCTGGTGTCAATGCTGCTTGGTAGTGATGGCTGAGAGCACAAGGTCCAGGGATGGGAAAAGAGTGCCACTCTGTTGATCTGCAGGGGGGGAGGAGGTGAATCACTGCTCCTCAGACTCCCCTGCACCAGAAGTGCAGAGAGCACATACAGCAGCTTCAACCTGCCCCTTTTCCCTGCTCTTGAGCTCTGGGAAGAGAATAATTTTTGACCCAAGGTCTAAAGGGAGATTTAGAAAGTTATACAACTCTAAAGAAGGAGAGAGGCATCAATCCATCAGCACACCAAATACTGACAGCTCTTGCCAGGGACCCACAAGTGCTTCATGTTGGGAGCAGGAACAATCCTTCAGAGAGGGAGTAGGAAGGACCAGCACAAAGCTATTTGGAACGACAAATTGTGCAATCCATTATCCACGTCAGGCCCAGCACTCATCCTAAAATAGGTGTAAAACTGCATCAAGATGCCAGTCCACTTTCCTTAACTGAGTCTGTGCCCCTGAGGTCAATAACAAGGAGGAGAATGAGCACATTTTTGCACGACTCATATTTTCTCCTGTAATACAGGAGGCTGTTTTGGGATGGTAAGAACAAGAGCCTGATTGCTTTTTATTAACCTGCTGGAAATAGCCAGGAAGCTTATTGTGAGTTTTGTAAATGCAGCTGTCTTCCTGAATATCCTATCTCTGTGCACCAACAGCATTCACCCTGATACCTTCTCTCTCCTATAAATCATTTACAAAAGGGCCCCTGACATAGCAGGACAATACAATTCCCTGTGCTGCAGCAATGATTCCAAGCAATGAAGGAGGGGCAGAAGTGCAGGATGAGCCTTCAACTCAGCACAGGGCAAAAGGCACAGCCTTGGACACAACTGCAACGCAGGCAAAGGTGTTTGCTGTTGGAGGGGGGAACACATTGCTCCCCAGCACCTGGGGACATGGGAAGAGAGATTAAGAAGGTATTTACTGCAGTTCCTCCAAGCCTGCAGGAGGAAAAGGTCTGGACTGTCCAGTTCCAGAGGCTGAAGGAGATGATTCAGTCAGAAAAATCCTCTGGGCTTACAGAAGTAATCCCTGAAGGTCTGGCAACCACGGAAAGGCTGCTATGAAAACTCAGACAGTTGTGTTAATGGACACATTTCTCAAAGTCCATTTGGAGAAGCTTAGGAATGTGATCTCAGGGGCTTCGGCAGTGAGTAACAAATTTGAAACATGTCCTTGGTGCAATGAAACAGCCCTGGCAGGGGACAGAATAACTCAAAATCAGGTTTCAGAGATGCTTTAAAATTAATACCAGGCTGAATTTCAGTTCTGCTTCAGCGACTTCCCTCACACCATTCCTATGTTTGCTTTATGACTTCCATCCTGCACTTGCAGCAGAGCAGAGAAAACTTCCCTCACACCATTCCTACGTTTGCTTTATGACTTTCATCCTGCACTTGCAGCAGAGCAGAGAAGCAGGTCTCTAACTGCCTTGGCTGTCATACATCAGGATCAAGGGCTTTTGCCATTGCAATATGGATGCAGTAGAGAAGCTGATTCTTCTCAGTGCCACTCAGCAAAAAAAGCTGTTAATCTTTTTGCATATAGAGCACACCGAAATCGATAGCTCTCTAATCTAAACTAAATGTTTTCCTGCACCTTGCTTATCACAGGATGACAAAGCAACACTCAGGTCTAACAGAAGCATCAGCCTCCTCTCCAGAATATTGCTGGGTCTGCTCCTTCCAAATCTTAAATCTTACCTTGATAGAAAGGCTTGATGCTGCTTTATTGTGTCCATTTCGTAGGTTGATGAATCACTCCTTTTCCGTGGCAGCTGCTTCTTTGGATCTTCTCCATTGCTACGAGGAATATCAATGTTGCTCCTGCTGAGGTGTCTGCTGGCTTCCAGATTAGAGCCACTGGAACAATAGCTATTGTTCACCGTTATCCCAGGAGACAGAAGATCAGTATCCTGGGATTTGAAATATGGATTTAGCTGAGTCAAGAATACACTCACATCATAACACCTCCCCTTCTAGCCCAAGATCCAGTTGAGGACAATATAGTGTTTCAGGCCCAATCACTTCCCTTCTATCCTCCTTACTCCATATACCCCAAGATCCAGTTGAGGACAATATAGTGTTTCAGGCCAAACCACTTCCTAAGGGTGTGGGAGATGCTTCATACCAGAGTGTGAAACATCTCTGTTGGGAGCAAACACACCTAAACTGAGACCAATATGCACCTTGAGACACATTTGCCATTGATGAGGAATAGAGTCAGGACAAGATCCTCACTGAAAGCAGAGGCCATGGAGGTGCTGTGGCCAGCAGAACTATTCCCAGTAGACACTGGGAGCAGCATTACCTGGACACTCACGACACTTCCTCGCCGACTGCTGTTCTGGCTCTCAGACACAGTCTGATTGCTGTAGCATAAGGCATCAAATCCCAGGATTCCTCCAACACAGTCCCCTACCAAGCAGACCTGAGAAAGGCAACAGAAGTAAGGGAGGAAAGAGGACAGAAATAAAAAGAAAATAACAAAAAAACCAGTCCCTTGACTTCAGCTCAGAGCTGACAAACAGTGCTGGATCACACCTAGATGAGCTGCAGTAACAGGATGCCAACTATGCAGTCAATGAACATCCATCATAGCCTGCAGCCTCCCATTATCTCACACAGCTGATGGGTTCTGGCTGTCCCCACCAGCTGACTGGAGCCAAGGGAGAGCAGCACAGTGCCCTGATCCCAGTGCTAACTCCAGCCTCAGGAAACCAAACTGGATTCCCCCTGCCCAGCTGACTGTGCTGCTTCAGGGAAGCTTCCCTGTGCTTGTGCCCCTGTTAGGATAACACTATCCTGCTGTCTGCCAAAGGTACTGAGCAGACAGGCACAGAGAAGCACTGAGATCCCTGGACAGGGGGAGGGCTGGCTGGGAAGAAGCTCAGGCTGGAAAAAAAATCACACTGCAGCAGTGCAATGTGAAGCTAGTCCAACGACTCAGCCCTCGTGGGGCTGGAGGGTCACTTTGCTCAGAGGTGTGAGACTCAGTCATGGCCTTTTATGGGGTGCAGCAGCTGCATAGCCTCAAAAAAAGAAACTCACTGCTGTGACAGCTCCAGCATGAGCTGCTGAAGGTCCTTTAAAGACAGGAATGTTGAAACAGCCTTGGTTTGTAGTGGAAAAGGGACAATGCTTAGTAACAAAGG